TGTGAGGGAAGACATGGGGCTGAGAGGACTTCCTGCAGATCCTCCTGCAGGACCACCTGGAGGAGCACCTGGAAAATGTCCTGGAAGCCCTCCTCAACATCAAAAGCAAGCCCGACCCGGCTGACCAGAGGCGAGGCGAGCGTGAGTAACCTCCTTTGTGTACTCCGCACCAAGTACGAGTACTAAGATTCCAGGTACCAACTTTCCTAGGTGACCTCAGGTCGATACCCAGAGGCCGAAGAGTGTCGATTTTGCCCTAGAAAACTGACTTAGAGCCCTTGACAGGGGCTAAAAGCAATTAGATGTCTTATTGAAGAACTATTTTCCATTTTCGAGATCCCAGAAACTGTTTCCACCTACTGCGCACTACTTTCAAAATACTTCAATAACGTACTCTTTTTTGCGCACTTTCTACTCATACAAAATCTCCCTCCGCACCTCTCCACTGTGAAAAGTAGTAGGAGGTTTACAGGTAAATTATTTTTCTTGACTCAAGTTGTCAAAAATTACAATTTGTAATCGTAAAAATACATGCAGTACGTATCGAATTCAAATCCAAATTGGCCGAGTACAATAAAATGTGCTCTCGTAAATTTACAACTATAAATAAAATTCGCGAGTTTACAATTTTTTGTTAATTTACAACCGTATTTTTCAGTGTCACTTTTTAATCTTTTTTCTTTTTTTAATTTAGGCAGTGACCTGCGCTACTGCACTCACCCCTCGCTGGCGTTGGCGCGCTCCGCACTGCTCCGCTCCGCTGCGCCGCGACGCCCGCGACGGCCCCCACCCGGCGGCGGCCCCCGCCACGCCGATCAGGTCATCCCCCTGCGAGAGGAAACGCACACATTATTAGTTTTACTCTCTGCCCAACGAGCCTGAGCCGCACCTGCTGCTCATTCCAAGGAAACAGCCACCTGGCTGCGGCCGGGCTCGGCTATGTGAGGGAAACGAGCAGGGCTCTCATTTCGGCCGCACACACACGAACACTGACGCACACACACACACGATAGAGCTGCTCGCAGTGTTTTCTCAGCGCCCGCCGCGCCACTGCGGCCCGCCCAGTGTACCCTTCAGGTGCAATAACAAGTGACCGCCGACCACAAAGAGAGTCCGGCCAACAAGCGCGGGCCGGAGTGGAGCCGGACCGATGTGGGCGCAAGTTACTTCAAAGAGCGGGCCCGGCCGGGGGAACCCGAGCGTGTGGGGGGAACAATTCCAATTTGACACGACTTGCGCGCACAGCGGGCAAACGACATGGTATGGTTACCAGTTTGAGCAGGAGTATGGCGTTTTAGTCTAGAGCACAAAGCAACTCCCCACCCGAGGAAAACGCTTAATATATGCCAAACGTCAAAATGTGCAATTTTGACCATAATACACTGGTGAAATAAGTGTTTAATTTTGCACGTCAATTGATGTTTAGGTTCAAGTGTGTATTTTCTCGACTCATTGTGATTGTGATGTCTAAGGTTAAACGTCAATAGGTGTTTAAACTTTCGACACCTCCGAAAAGTAGCAGCTGCACGAGCTGCACACCATATGTGGTTCCTGTAGAACTGTGTGTGTCCAAGTGGGCAGAATTTAAACGTTTACAGAACGTTTAAAATGTGCACACCACGCAAGTGTGCGACTTGAGTTAAACACCATGTAATGTTGAAAATTATAACTTGCACACGTTGGAGTGCAAATTGTGCACACTTGTTTTACCAGTGTACGGGCTAAGCGACGAAAACAGACATCGACGATAAATTCCGTCACTCGTCTCGTTTTAGGCGAGACACATCACTCCAGCATTTCCAGGAAAGGCGCACGAAACACGACACAATGCACACTTGAACCTAAATGGTTCCTGTAGAACTCCGTATTAAATGCTTCAAAATTCTTTGCAGGAATTTTGCAGTGCAGGAATGTGGGACTTTTACAGCACATCGACGTACTGGCGCTCTCAGGGATAGTGACCAAATCTAGGGGGTTTTGACTCCGTATTTTCATGTACAGTGTATAACATAATATGTGTATTACGCGGTGATACGCCATTGCTACGCCATAGAAAGTGCGTCATCCAGAAAGTACGTCTAGTTCAGTCAATGCAAGCTCTCATAGCGCCTGATGGGCAGGCAACATCTTGCCTGGAGTGCATACATGTACTGCAGGCTCACAGGCGCCGAGCTCCCGTAATTTGCCGAATGAATTTGCGAGAAACGGACGTAATTTCTAGACGATCTCATTCGCCCATCGGACCAAAAATATCGTTTCCAACGGTTTCTTGCCACAATAACGCCAAACGCAATTCAATCGCGTAGAAATGACATAAAAGGCGGCGAATTGGTAACGCTTTTAAAGTGTATCAGAGCACTTGAGGTAGAGGGGTTGTGGTGGTTTGGTTTCTAACCACCCGTTCGTAGGGCAAAGCAGCAGTAAACACTGCCGTTAAAAGCTGACACAGTGAGATACCCTGCACCTAGGGCACCAAAACCCTTGTAACCCCGTACAGGGTGAGATACCCAATTAAAGAATTGAGTCAGGCTCAAATGCATATAAAGTTTGCAGACGAGGGCCGCACTGCGAGACGCAACTACGACTGTTGTTAGCAAAAGGATGTCGCTGTGCCAAAGTTATCTCATGTGCGCCTGCTGGCCTACACCATGCTCCGACCTCCGGCCTGCTCGCCTACACCCTTCGACCGGCGTTCAGAGCCGGTTCCACACTGAAAATTACGGTCATGATGACTTGAAAGCTTGCACAGTAAAAAGTAGTTGTTGGATTTCACATGGGGTTGCCTTGGATTACCAGACGATAGAGGCCTGCAACGAGCGAGCACTGAGAGCACGCGCTGCGAGCCAGGGGCTGTGAGCAAAGTTACTCATAGGGCCACGCCCAGTGAGAAATTTTTCCGACGATATCGTTTCGACATCGGTTTTCACGTCGTAAGCGACAGAAAAGTGGTCCTGAAATCGACGGCTTTTCGACAGACGGTGTCGTTTTGATGTCGTTTCGATGTCGACTGTCGAAAAGCCGTCGATTTCAGGCCCACTTTTCTGTCGCTTACGACGTGAAAACCGATGTCGAAAAGATATCGTCGGAAAAATTTCTCACTGGGACGTGCCGTGAGCAAAAGCCAGGTAAGCGAAGCGGGGCCGCTATCGGCACTTTGCTCACGAGCAAGGCTGCTTGCCTACTTCTGGCGCAGCCCGGGTCCGAAGCAGCATCCGAGCGCGCATGTCGCACACGCGGCGCCACTGCACGAGCTACCAGAGAGCAAGATTTGCTCGCGTTGCTCGCGCCGGGTGGTAGCTGGTGAGCGAGCAAAGCGAGGGCGGCTGCGAGCAAACAGAGCTATGAGGCGCGGTCGGCGACAGAGGCGAGCGCTTGCTCTCATTGCTCGCTCGTTGCAGGTCTCTACCAAACGAAAATTCAAAGGCTTTTCCTTAGAGGCAAAAATGGTTTCAAGGCAGATCCTGAGATTTCAAGGGAGATTTCAATTATCCACCCGTCCTTAAATACACGAAAGAGTCTTGGAATCCAAGAACAACTTTTTACCGTCGTGTGCTGCCAAGGAGCCATAAGGAGCGATATCACCACTCCAATCTCACTTTCACCCGCGTACCCGGGTAACTCGGGCAAGGACCGCGTGAACTGGTCTTACCGGGTACCCTGACCCGGGTACACCTGGCCCTGGTGAAACCGCGCCTGTAGGTAGGCAATTTTACATACCGGGTCTACGGTTTACCCGCTTCCTACCTGGGTTAACCGCGTACCGGCAGGTCCAGGTTCTGAAAGCCCTCACTTAAATTGAGCGACTAAAACGGAGTTTCTCTTTAATTGGGCAACGACAATCCTGTAACTCTTGCTAGGCAAAACAACATCACTTCTGCATTTTCAGTGTGACGGTTGTTGTAATAATTATTATTTATTCATTCATGTGCTGAAAATGCATCAGTGATGTAACTATACGGAGTATTATGTGCATTTCTACGCGCATTGAAGAGCATTTCATGCGTTGGCGCACTGTAAAAATTCTTTGTCACGATGACGAAAATACCATGGCTACTTTTTAGTACAGGCCTGTCGTCATGAATTTTCTCGCCACGGTGACGAGAAAACCTTAATCATGTGACGAAAAAACCCATGACGACAACCCTGTACTAAAAATTAGCCATGGTATTTTCGTAATCGTGACAAAGAATTTTTACAGTGCGCTTCTGGGGTTTAACACGTTGAGTCCCACGTGACCACACGTATGGTCACAATAACCCGTAATGAGCACCCCCCCTGGGACTCAACGTGTTAAGTGATTTAAGTGTATTTACGCTACTGGGGGTGCTTGTTTCTAGTGGAAAGCCTTCAATGCAGACGTCAATTAGACGTGGATTTCAATGCTTATGGTAAAAAATGTCGAAGTCGTTTCTACTTTCGACGTCCAACCCCAGTAGCGCCAAACGCATTAAACGCGCTTCAAAAATGCACATGAAAGGCTTTATACATTGGAGACGCTTATAAAGCGCATCACAGCATTTAATGCCAATTTAGTGCGCACTATGCGTATTTAATGGTCACCAATGTGTCACCTTTCATGTGCATTTCTATGCGCATTGAAGTGCATTTCTATGCGCATTGAAGCGCATTTAATTTATGCTCTTCTTGGGAATAGACGTCAACGTTTCTCACTGGGTTAAAAAAAAAAACTTCCAAAAATTCTTGGTTGCCTCTTCCCTCTTCCACTTACCTCTTTCTTGCCAATTAGCCCCCTCGATGCCATTTTTTCAAATTATTTTTTTGGCACTTTGTTTCCTTAAAACTACTGAACTCTTACTTCAGGTGCACTGCACCACTTTACTTTTCCACCAGGAGGGCTTCAAAGATCATCATCTGAGCTGATTGCTTTTCATTATTTGAGACCTCCTATGTAGAATGTAGACGTGCCTACCAATTGTGACAAAATTACCAAGGTGTACTGAAAAAAAGCTTTTATATCACATTATCAAAAATAAAGTTTGACAACTTTGGCTCTGCCTAAGAAAGGATAATACACCACACTTATAAATGTATCAGTTTTATTGTGTGTTATTTTACATAGTAAGGTAGAATAGATAACATTGAAAACTTATCTTGCCAATTTCCTACAGGTACAAGGCTAGCTATTTCTACAAAAATGTCAAAATAAAAATTGCTTACTAAAAATCAAAAAGTTGGCTTTCTACAGATTATGGAATCCATGACCGATCCACACAAACTTTGTAACAGTAAAAACTAAAAGATAATATTACAAGTGTTTTTTTTTTTCTTTACACCAATTGCTGAAAGCTACACTACCTACTAAATAGAAAGCAAATATGCTTCAAATAAAGATAGTAAAAGAAATTGGTTACTTTAAGGTACTGTGACAACAATTGCTGTCAAACATTAATTGAGAACAAGACGAGCTTATTTCAGAAATTAAAATAACAAAACAGAATGTAATTTGCCAAGTGAAGCCTACTACCTGTTTAACTGAGGCATACTGTGCAGTGTTGCATTCTTTCTTACCACAATGTCTACTCATGTATCAAATCATACGGTAGTAAATGTGGAAGTGTGAAAATCCTGGAGGAAAGAGCGCACCTGCAATGCAAAAAGAAAATCAATAAAACAAAATGTTTGAACAAGGTTCTTGGGAGGGATAACATCCATTAGAAACTGAGTTAAAGAAATATTACTGAAAATATGTATTTATATTGATGGCATTATACAAAATATAAAATATAACGCGACACTAGCCATACAAAAATGTATTATCAAAACCACGAGACTTTTATCAGTTGAATATGTCACCTACACTGAGTAAACAAGGTAAGGAATTTAAGTTTCCAGTAGGCAGAGTACGTGAATGAAACTTGTAGACCAATTCACAACTGTCTGGAAAATGAAACAGATATCAAGTAAAGATGCATTCATGCATATGATGGATAAATAAGGTTAACACACAGACATATGTCTTTACATAAGATGCTAACACATCTCAAAAATAAGAAACTCGGACGAAGTTGAAACAGTTCTTTCGATTTCTACGATTGCCTCATGGTAGAAAAATAAAATCCATACACTTATGCCACTAGACTGTTTGTTTTTCTCGTGTAACGTACAAAGGCGCTAGGAGGAGAACAACGTTACCGGTCCTAATAAGTATTTTTTAAGAACTTACCTGAGATTTTCCGTTCTTAATCTTGTTGGTGGATGCTTGATTAAACAAGGAGGAGAAGGACGAGTTCAACTTAAGTTATGTTTGACCAAAAGACGTACTTTTATGGCAATCAACACAGAACACAACAAGTGGTCCAGAGGCCATAACTCAAAATGGCGTCCTGCGCAGACGACGCTCCAGTACGCATGACAGGGCGGCAAATTTGAACAGCTGTCACAGTTCACTCAGAGGGTCTGGAGGTTTACTTAATACTGGTGTTTCCCAAAAATAATGCCAGTAAATGATGTAACTGTCGTTTGTAAAGAATGATGTAGCTTCTAGGATAATATGAAAATCTCACATGAAGGGTTTTGTTGGTACTGGTACAAAAACACATGAGCTTGATTGTGTCATTTTAGAATATTTAATCCTTAAGGAGTAGTTTACAATAAGTAAACACAAAATAATAACACAAAGCTGTGTCCAGTCAGTCAGTGACACAAGAACAAGCAACAGCCACATTTGTGATTCATGTCGGAGGTTCATTGGAAAATTACAATAGATTGTTTTTTCTTTTTCTTTTTAAAAAGGTAGTTCAGAATATACTTTTTAAATCCTACCCTCAATATCTGACTAAGATAGTTATTTTAATACTGAATAAATGAGAATTTCAATCAAAGCACATAAGTGCAATCAAAGCACTTGCAAAACTAGGTCTACTGAACAAGATTAAAACAGCTCAGGAGCTATTTACATAATAACTGTCTCCTTGGGAAGAAGACACAGTAATCCGCTGAACTGCAGTATCTAACACGTCATTAAGATCAATATAGAAAAGTCTCGCATTGAACAAATGTATCAACCATTCTAAGCTTGTCATTTGTGACACAAATCTCAATATATCTCGTTCTTACTAAATCCTAGATTTATTTTTCCTAAGGGATTATTAAGTCCAGCCCATCAAACAATAATATTTTGGGTCATCTGCTAAAATTAACGTGTGTTTTGGGGCACAAACTAGACTAAATATATGACTGACTGTTGATATTCTATATGCTTAAGCTATAAAGTTTCAATAAAATTAGAAAGAATCAGAGTTCTACTTAGTAGCGATGGAGGGGGGGAGTGAGGGTGGCAAAGGAGAGGCCCAATCCCCCGTCGGTCTAAGATGAGGCAACCTGATAAAACATTGCCCCACCCGCCAGTTGCGCTTTAAACCGCCCCTGGTTCTACTAGAGCTTTTCTTTTCAGCTGAACAATCTGCAAATAAAGTGAGACTAGCCTAGTTAATCCCTGACCAACATAAGCCAGCCATGAAACCAAGTGTGACCCTAGTCTGTTTGGACACTAGCACTAGTTCTACCCTGACGGAGGGATGCATCAGTGTGAGACAAGTTAACATAGAGATGTAACTGAAAACCTGACTGTAAGCAGTTTATTGAGCAGATGATGACTTAGCTTCCTGGGCAGCACTGATTTCACTGGCATACTTCCAGCGCATGTATGCCACTTTCATTCGGTCCCAAACATTTTCAAAGGAATCCATTGCTGGACGGACATCTAACAATGCAAATTTGTAAGCAGGATCTACAGCACCACCATCATAATAATCAATGACATATCGAACATCTTTGCCGCAACGATCAACAATCCAATCATGACGGTCAAATGGCAATTCATACCTAAAAAATAAAACACGAAATGATGTCAAAATTCAATACAGAAGGTGAAATCTTTGAAAGTTTTAGCATGAGATAAACCACGTACCCCATCCAACTTCTGATTCGAGCACGTGGAGAATAATCTTGAGCTTTCCCACCAAAGCTCTTTAGGCGAGGTGAGGTGCATTCATTCGCATGAAGAGCTTCCCACTTTAACACCTGCAATTTATAATCATTAGAGACTATTGTCAACTCAGCCTCCAGTAAAAAGGCTCAAATGCTGTAGATACTTACTTCCTGCCATGCTTGTTCATTGTTAGCGTTGTGAATTTTAATAATATCTGCCATATCTTTTGGTTTAATGTCTTCATCCTTCCACCTCCAGCCTTTTCTTAGCATTGCGTTCCAAAACATCTACCAAAATAAACAATAATATATTAAAAAAGGCATTATTATCACAAGAAAAGAAAACCTAGAAACTAACTTGCTGTGAGGGATACACCCAGAATTCTCCATCTTTTCCCGCTTTGGGAATAGTGGAAACTTGACGATCTTTGGGTAATGGAAATGGTTGATCAGGTGCTGGCTGTTGGTTTGGTGCAGGCATCTGAAAACAAAGTTGCAACGGTGATTTTTTAAATTATAATGCTCTCTTGTTAGTTAGATTTGGCCTGTTGGAAAGGTAATATAAAACGTAGCTGAATTGTGGATGAAATTTTCTTACCATATTTAAGGGGTTGATGTCATCACCACCAGCATTAATTGGGCATTCTGAGGCCACTGGTTTTGCTTTCTTCTGATGCATAGGACATTCCGGAGGAGGCTCTCCAACCATAGGTGGGTGTGGCTTTTTGTCATTGTCTTGTTTGATAGGTACAATCTCAGCAGCAGCTACTTGTGCAGTTGTTGCCAAATTACCCATGACTGAAACATAAAATTTGCAAAGGTAAGAGGTGAGGAAGTACTTTTGATCAGACGATTTCATTCAGTGGTAATCTAATGATTGATGTGAGGGAGAATTGTTCTGGTTTTAAGTATAAATTGGTTGCGACACCTAAATAATATTCCACCACGAGAAAATACTGAGGTTAGGTTATAACGCAGTTCTTAAAATAATATCACTCCAATGCCATCAGTCTATGTCATGGTTCGATGAATAATCCATAGCAATCTTTAAAGTAAACGACTATATTAAGATAGAATAAATATGGTACATACTTATTCGAAAATACCGTAAAAGTATCGTAAAATGTCTCAAAACAGAGCAGCGCAAAGAAAAATCGGCAGCTATTTCATTTCAGTGAGGTCAAGCAATGCCTTCCAGAACCGCCCGACAACTGCTTTCAGTCAGCTCATGGAAGTGTGAACGTCAGTGGGATGTGCAGGCAGGAGGAGGAAAATTAGAGAGACGTAAGGCGTGGGGCGTATCTCCATCCATTCAAAATCATCCTTTCTTCAAAGAGAGAGGTTGTCCTTCTCGGTTTGTTTTTTTGTTCGCCGTCAACTTTCCAGTTTAGGCCTGTGCTGGGTGGTTGAAGTAGTTAGGGCTTTTGCTCTTTCTTCTCGGTTTACTGAGACATTTTCAACATGGGATCTTCCGAAAATTTTCGGAAACGGCGTAATCCTCGGAGCAAATTTTCGGTAAGTACGAGTACAATGTGGTTTTCGAGGTCACTTTGAGGCTCCAGTAGGGTATTTTTGCGTACCGCGTGCGTGAATCACCGAGCTTCTGCTAACCTATACATGTTTTCGTTTGTCTTCCGCTTTCACAAGTAAACAATAACAGATTATCAGTACAATTGTACACTACCTCTGTATCAATCGCCTCTTCCGATGTTATTTCGTGTCTTTCAGTTAATTTTTAATCACAATTTGTATATTCCAGAGTATGGGAGATCACAGTAAATTTGTGTCAAGAATTAAAAAGAGTTTGTATTATGGTCAACTACCCAGCACAGAGCGATTGAGTCTTCCTGTCACTGGTAAATATATCACCTTATCTCTTTGCTTTTCCCGCTTACGTTTGTTTTAATTTGTATCATGTGTAATGATTGGCTTTGATGTTACAGAGTTAGCTACTGAGCTGTTTTCTGCTTCGCAACGGAAACACAGTCTTCAGCGTTTGGATTTGCAAGAAGCATCAGACCTGTCTCGCAGTGCTTGTGTGTCACCCTGCTCCCTTGTGCTTGCTCTGTTATACCTTGAAAGACTTCAATCATCCCGACCTAGCTACTTACGTGAGACACCACCCTCAGAATTGTACCTAATCTCTCTGGTATGTGTTTCATGTAGTACCATTCCACCAAATTAAAATGGATAAAAACTGCTGGTTACTATAATTCTGTATTTATCCCTGTTACTAGATGGTGGCAACTAAGTTCTTACAAGATGATGGCGAGGAAGATGGTGTTATTAATGAAGAATGGGCATCGTCTGCAGGGATCAGCACAAGTCATCTCAATCAACTTGAAAGGAACTTTCTAGATGCGATTGTGAGTTCTTTTTGCCATACACTGTGTAGATACTAGTTCTGAAGTATTGCCTAATATGACACTGAATAATATGACACTTCTACAAAGTTACTGTTAATTTTTCAACAACCTCATTTTTCTTTTTATTTAGGAATGGGAGGTTTATGTTAGTGAAGAAACTTTTTGGACCCGATTGAGAGGATTAGAGAGAGATGTTGCTCTTAATGAGGGTGCTAGAAGGGGCTGGTTCTCATATGCTGATTTGGATTGTTTACTGGAAAAAGTTGATCTGGCTTCATTAGCTCATTCTGTCCTGACTGTAAGTATGACTCCAACAACATATTTTAAAATTATTGATTCATCTGTGTTACTATATCTAGCTCTTATCTTCTCATTGTTTCTGTGTTCTGTTCCAGGTCTCTGCTGTTTGTCTCACGAGCTACACAGCTAGTGTTTTGACTTTGATTGCATCAACATTGTTGGTCAGTCAAATTCAACCACTAATTCCTGACTTCGGCAGTATTGGCAAATCAAATCTTAACCAGTCCTCTGCACCACTCCGTTGTGTTGATCAGCCTTCATCCGAAACTCCAATTGACCCTAGTTTTGATCTAAACTACCAAACCCCACTAGATGTACTCACCACTAGCTTTATATTAGCATCTATCAGTTCATGCAGTGAACGTCTTGGTAATGACTCTGGAAGCTGTTCAGACGAAGCACAGTCTGTTGGTAAACCTCTTGGCAGTTCTATAGCCTCGCCATTTCTGGGAACCATTGATGATTTATCAAGGCTTGACAATCTTCCATCTCTACCACAAAATCATGTTGACTGGAACAACGGAAGAATTTACTCTTGGATTAAATGGATTAAAGATTTGAGAGGGTGGTTAAGAGCTCCTATTGTGGGTACCTTTGAATCGCCCCCAGATTGGGCAACATCTCTTAGTTATTGCATTGATCGGGGTGCATCGCAATCACGCATGATTCCGCTTCAAGTGTATTAATATCAGTACTGCAGAGCTCCAGTTATCACTTAACAGAAAAAAAAAAGGCTGAACTGAACTTAATTTGTAATCCAGTGTTCTATTGCATAAATTAACTTTATCTTCAATAATTATGACCATAGCTTAAACTGTTAATTGCTCTATCAGATGTCAAAACTTATTTTAAGTAATGTATGTGATGTATTTTGAAGCCAAATAACTACGCTTTTTTTTTGTACAGCTCGACATACTTTCCTTTGATATTTAATATTTTTTGTTTAATAGAATGGTTGTGTCAAGGTCACTAAGAAGATAATAATTACAAACAGAAATAATATAACAATAAAATTTAAGAAAACAGTATGAAAATTCAAATTTGCTAAATGAACCCTTACAGTTAAAAAAGAAAACAAAATAGGTAAAACAAAACGATTTCAACTACAAACTACATATAACATTACTTTTTATTACATACATACAATAACTCCTACTCTACATGTTGGATGGAAATTGTTGCAGGACGTCACTGTTCTTCAGTCGTGATTAAACCACATTCATTAACAATGAACTCGGGTATAGCTTATCAACAAGATAATAGAGAAATTACCCAACAACCATCTTAAAATTTTGTGCTTTGAAAACCACACTCAACAGTTTCTAGTTAATAAAACAACACATTTTTAACATTTAATAAAAGGATGTAAAGCACCAAAAGGAGCTGGAAGCATCAGACTAGATAAAATGTTGTACAGACATTCTCAGTAATAATGATCTAATTAAGAGTGAGATTTAGAACACAGGGACAGTAAACTATCTTACTGTTGGTTTACTGTCTATTGTTTGTCGTAATGACTCCTATCTAAGACCAGAAAAACATTCAGAGAGATTATCACGATACAAGTGCAGGCTTAAGAACTGTACATTATACAGAGAGATCTGGTTAAAAAATAAAAGGCACAATAAGTAAAACAAAACATTGACAAAACAAAAGACAATGTAGGATAGAAAACTCTAGCCCATCAGCTGAAACCAAATAGCCCATGAGGATATTGGGGGTACTACATTAGATTTAGTATAATTGTTCCACAGGGAACACTTCAATTTAGTTTAGCTTAGAGGAAAGTTCTAATAGGTCAAATTTACAGACGGGCTCCTCACAAACTACACAGAAATAGAAGGCAAGATTTTGGTCTAGTCAAAATAGATACATAAAAATAAAAGGGATTTTGAATACAAAGGCAAAGAAAACAAAATTTATGTTTTTTTTAGAACTAGCTAGTTCCTATAGGATAAAGATTACACAGCCTTACTAAGATGATATTTGTTGACCGATTAGACTTGTTAAAAGAGATAACAAAAATTTTTGTTCAGATAAAATAGAGTTTACAGGTATGTGTTTAGAAGATAAACAGTATGGTCCCGGACAGTATGGTACCCTACAAAGTGAAAGCTAATCTTTAGCTTCGGCAAGAAGAATATATTAGATTAGAAAAGTGGCACACTCCTTAAGAATTCATTCTTTCTTTTTATCCTGCTTGTCATTATCTTTGTCATTACCAATGAAAAGAAGAGGCACCATTCCCAAGATGCAGCCTACTGTAACACCAATGACCCGTCCCTAAAATGGTAAAAGAGTATTAGAGTAAGTTTTCAATACTTTAACCATACGCACTAGGGTTCTAATAAGTGCTTTGCTTACCATGTTGGCAGCCCAACGGCTTGATTTCATGTCAAGTTGTATCGGAGAAAGAGCTGGAGGCTTAAGACCAACTTTGGCAGCTAAAGATTCAATATACCATGCTGAGCCAATACCCATGATGTCAGAAAATGTGTTGCCAAGTGCAGCAGCTGCCATTGTAGATATTGTGATGATCGATCCAAGCATAAGTTCTATGTAGTCACCCTAAAGTCAAAATCATTACCAAAGTTACCATATTTACTACATTGCAACAAGAACATAATTAAAACTAGAAAAGTGGAATAAACAAACTCACTGCTATAATCATAATAGCATTGTCCAAAAACCCAAATCCAACAAAAGGTATGGCGTTATGCAACACAACTGTAAACAAAATTAAAACATTGTTAGTGATACTTGAGGTGTTAGAATACTGTGTCAATCTGTGGGGTCAGACATTCACAGTAAAAATCATCTAAATATGATAATAAAAATGATCGCACCTGAAGCGAGTTGCTTGGTAGAAGGCTTCGGCACAGTTTCGGCTGTAAACAGAAAAATGGCAGGATATAAACAAATTCCCCTGCCTAAGTCTAAGTGTGCATTCCCAATACAGGAAAAAAAATCCAGTTGAATTTATGGCACATACAATTAGTAAAAGTCATATAACCAATCTACAGTTTCAACTATTAAATTACTTACGATTTTCTTGCACTTTTCCATTTAAAGCAGCATAATAAAGCAAGTAACTTAGAAACTGGTGATGGTATAAAAAATAATTTTTGAGGATATCTAATACATAAAAACATTTGGAAACTTACTCAGTTTCTCCACTTGAAAATGAAAGCAAATGAACAGTAAGAAAAAAAATTGAATCCAAGAAATAGTACAGTCTACTTGGTTGCATGAATTTATGGCCACTTAACTTATAATTGTTGACATAAAAGTCATATTTCAATTGCCTTGAAGCTTACCATATTTGCGCATCAACCAATCTTCAGGAACAGGGCAAAAAGATCCTGTAGGGTCCACACTCCCCACATTAGGCACCTTAGATGGTCTCCCAAATTTGGATCTCCATCGAATGGCAGCTAGTTGACCTAAGCAAGGTAATAAACACAAAATAATCTCTATGTCAGAAAAAATCTACATCTATCCAAACATTTATAAATAAATAACACATACCCTCATATTCTGATTTCACCTGCTTGGCTTGGTAACTTTGCAGCGCGGTCAATAATACAGTCCTCTCTCCCTCAGTAAACCGAAGGACCAAAGCATCGGCCTTTTCCCGATCCAAGGTTTCAGACGTTTCGTTCCTTTCATGATTTGAACTACTGAACGACATTCTGTGCAGTTGACAACCCAGTCTGGGGGTTATGTGGCGACATATCAACACTTGCAAAGGGGAAGGTCGGGAAGCGACACAGGCGATGGTGGCCGCAAGTGGTGACACAGTATTTGAATACATTTATTTATTTACTTTCACAAAAATATTTCCTAAGATTCTGTCAGATTCACTTTGTTTTTTTTAGTTCATGACAAAAGCAGAACAGTCCCTAGGAACCACCAGCACTGTTCAAGGTGCCACCCACCCCACACCCACATCCAAGTTTCCGGATTCCCCCACCATCGTGTTTCCTGGCATTTTGATTGGTTGAATCAAGTATGGCAAACTTCGCCCAATGGAACTGGAATCTAGTTTTAGATCACGATCTGAAATTAGCAGGTGACTAAATTACCAGCAGATCTTCCTAGATTTAGCTACGATAACGCCCCCCCCCCCCCCCCCCCAAAAAAATGGTCTGCCGTTTTTAAGGACCTTTTGCCCGAACGAATGGGTGAATGAAAAAGTAGATTGATAGAGTAATGCAAAAACTACTGTAAAAAATTATGTACTGCTTGTGTGCATGTAATTGTGATTGTGTTGATCAGTATGTGCCTGCATGGACCAGTCGGTGACTTCAACTTCACTTTGAGTTGCAATGACGTCATGTCGAGGTAGTGCAATAAAACATCTAGTACATTTCCTTAAAAAATGTCTATAATTCAATGTGAATTATAGTCCCATAACATGATTTCTTCAATGTCTACTAATGTACTATCATACCACCACACAACACAATACAAACAGCACATACCAATACCTTACTAAAGAATAACATTCCAGTAAATAAATGAAAATACACACATATAAACATATTACTGTGACACATAGTCCATAAATATTATTGATGTGTAAACCAATGGAATGATCAACACCACTTAAGTTGAGGTAGCTTTACACCTCAGCATAGAACTTTATGTACAAACTAACTTCACCCTACATACACTGCATGTCAAACTACGCCTGAATAAATAAAAAAGGGAAGGAAAAAAACAACTCAATATTACTTCTGAAGTAAAACTCAAATCTCAGTATGAAATACTTTGGTTTGATTCATGAAGATAACACCTTGCTGGGAGTCATACATGACACCACAAAGTTTAACATACACCCCTCCCTACCCTCAATAAATTGACACAAGGAATCTGAAATTCACAGTTAAAAAGTCAAATATTGTTATTTGTTTTCTGCTCTTTAAGATGTACTGACAGCACCACTAAAGAATCGCTTGGTGGAAATAAAATATACTAGAAGGACAAGCTGTTCATTAACATCCAATGAACTTACAGTTTCACTTGACAGTAACAACCAAAACTTGTTTCTGGGTAAATGGGTCATAGATTTAAAGGGAATTGTATGTGTCATCTAAGTGGGTGATAAATTTGATTTCACAGCAATGTTGCCACACCTCTCATTTCCTTAAGCAGAAGTGAAAATTGCAAAGATATTCAACTCTTTAAAATACAGCCACACCAACCCAAATAAAATTACTGCAAGAGAACAACTTCTCTAACTAAAGAAAATACCCCTCTGTAATAGGGGCATGAAACATGAAGCCTTCAACTATTTTCACACCCCAGCACTCAAATGCTAAGGAATGTCAGGGGGAATAGAAATAAATAGCTGACAACAGAGTTAAGAGAAGAAAATTGGAATAACAACTACAAAAAGCTGGATGAAAGACAGGTAAGAAAAACTGAAAATATTAAATATTTTAAATGGAAGAGTAAGGGATTTACAGGAACCCACATTCCAGAAACCCATAATTGTTAATGAAATAAAAATTTACATGATCACGAAATACCATAATGCATTCACAGAAAATTTATCACATGATGAACGCATCAGCAATTCAATGAGAAAGGGAGGCACTTAGTTCAAAATGTTAGAGAAGCGCACCCATGTGCTTGTCAGTTGGTGCTGTTGTTGTTGTTGTTTTATTTTTGTTTTTAACACCCTAGTTTCCTGGAAATTTAAACAACATACTCAAAAAGGAAAAATAAAGCTAGATGCACAAGTGACGGGAATTTAAAATACTGAACTTGTTCAGCAAGTACGGTATTGCATGGTGTTCGGTACAAACACCACAAGTTACTCTACTAATCACACTTGCAAATGGGTCAAAGACAAATGACAAAGATAGCATATTTCGATTAAAACTAGAAAATATCTAAAAATAACTAACTAACTTTACTTTGAGAATAGCTACGAAAGATTACAAGGTTTAAGTAATAGTAAGCTACGAGCTGGAAGACAGGAAACTCAAAAGTACAAAAGCACAAACACACAACATAGACACATATCAGGAAAATCACAGTCTGTTTTTGTTTGTAAGCATTGGAGCCTCCTGTGATATACATCACAACAAAATAACAATAACAACAAAACTTGAAAAGTTGCATTCATAGAAGACCCATAATATCACCACAAATGAAGTATTATTCCCACACAAAATATATTTAAATTGCTTGATGAAGTGCCCAAATTTTACACTGATAGAAACATGGTGAAAAACCACATTTGAAAATTGAATTTTCATGAAAATAAAGCATGGATGTCACACTTACTACATCCATAGCTTAATTTAGAGATCCATTTTAGGTAGTTTTCTGAATCAAATAATCTGTCAGAGAATTTAACTTGGGAAGAAACTTGAGGAAGAATTTACATGTTAAATTCTATTCAAATTAAGAATGCAAAGCAAAACAAAAGGCCTACTTGAAATTAAAAAAAAAAAATCAAATAAGTGATCATGATCACAGCCTTGCCCATACAAAAATCATTTATACTCTTTTCCCAATGATAAGTTATGTTCTACAACATATACTATAATAGAGCGAATAAATATCATCATTATTCATCACAAATCTATACAGAAATTAAAACATATACAGTACATACTGAAATCAGTTGCACATCTATATGCACAATGGAACAATCTCAAATCACATATTGGCCTCATTTGACAATGACGAATCAACTACAGAGTCAGGCATTATGACATCAAGTGAGGTCAATTCCGCTACTGCATCAGAACTGTTACTGTTCAGCCCTGCAACATCATTTAAATTAACCTTTAAGTCTTCCAAGGCAACCTCAACTTTCATACCAGGAACATTTAATGATGAGCTGTGGAGAACATCATCAGCTTCAAGGGAATTACTTTCAGCGCCAGATATACCAACTGTACTGTCTGGTCTATCATCTTCCAAGGAATTAGCATTGTGCACCTTAAGATGAGTGGTCAAACTTCCCCGCTTAGAAAACTCTTTATCACATATATGACACTTATGTCGTTTGACTTCCAAATGCATTTTTTTGTGAGCATTTAGATACCACAAGAAGTGGAAGCTTTTATTGCAGATGTCACATGTAAATGGTCTGTGCTCTTGATGACTTTTTAAATGCTTATTAAGAGCAGCTCGATCTGCATATGTCCGGGGACACAATGTGCAAGCATGAGGCCGTAAGCCCTCATGTGAGCGGCGATGACGAACCAAGTCCCCTCTTCTTGCAAACTCTCTTCCACAACCATCACATTTAACACGCTCACCATTATGAACTTTGAGATGGAGATTCAAATTAGCTTTCCATTTGAAGGATTTACCACACAGATGGCAGGTGAAAGGTGTGTCCTAGCGGAAAAACACATTAATTTGAAAATAGGAATCAATTTCCTTGCTTCATAAAAAATTCCATAGTACTAACCTGAGTGTGAACTCGGCGATGAGCTCGTAAATGTGAGCGAGACCGAAATGAACGAGCACACACAGTGCATGTGTACGGTCTTTCTTCAGAATGCGTCTTTATGTGAGCTTCCAAGTTATGTTTGTCAGAGAATGCTTTAGAGCATGTTTCACATGAAAAAGGCCGTTCGCCAGAGTGAACTCTTCGGTGCCTTTCCAATTTTCCCTTTCCTGAGAAGGATTTACCACAAATCTGAAACAGGAAAGATAAGGTTAAAAAAGAAAAAAACATGATGATTTGCAATTCCCCGAGATTGTAAGTGAACTCACATCACACTGATATAGATTTGTATGGAGACGAGAATGAAGAGTAAGGTCCCAACGCATTGCAAAGCTTTTGCCACAAGTTTCACAGGTATGAGGGCGTGCTGAATTGTGTTGAGCCATGTGTGCACGCAAATTAGTGCGCCTCATAAAACGCTTCGGACATGAAGTACAGGGAAATGGTTTCAAACTGGAAGTAAGGAAAACAATCAGACCAGATGTTGAGATGGCTAATAAATTCGTTACCTGTATTATAAAAAAGAGGCCTTATATCTAAAATAATCAATAAAAAATAACACACCTGTCTACTTCTGTAGTTGTTACATTGCTGTTTTCAGGTAAATCCCCTGTAATTGTTTCAGTTAAAGTTTCTGATAAACTGTCTTCAAACACAATGCTTTCCATTTTAATTGAAGATGCATTGTCAACATTGCTAAAGGACGGGTTTTTAGGCTCACTTATGTCATCAGTTGTGTATTCTAAAATTTGTGAACGACCTAGTGTAGCGTCTGGTACAAAAGATATCACATGAGCATTAGGTCCAAGAGAGGTTGAAGCAGTAGAAAAAGTAAGAGATTGGTCTTTGGCTAGCACAGTGGAGCCATCAGTATAATGAGAGGTTGAGGGTAAGGTTGAGCCATCAGAAATGTAACTAATTGTTTGACCCTTTGCAAGAGTCAAAGGCTGGACATTTGGATAGGGAATGGCCTGAGCATTTCCCTGGGCATCATAAGCTAGAAGGTGAGTCTTCCCAATTGTAATTTGGTCATCAGTAAATGCCACAGTATGAGTATTGGTGGAAATATCATGAGCGTCCGAAGTGAAAGAAAGTTGCTGAGGAGCTTTGATGAGTCCATTAGACTGGGGGTCGGTTACATAATTGATGACTCTGGTCTTGGGTGAAGCGTAGGTTATAGTTTGAGGTTGAAGATGTACTGCTTCTGTCTTGGTCTGGATTTGGTTTTGTCCAGGTATATCTTGAAGAAGAACATCTTTATACTTGAGTTCCACCTAAAATTAATTATATTGGTTAGGCAAACAAACAGAGCACTTGACAAATACAAAATAAACAGCATAGTACATACCATAAGCAGAATGTCCTGACCATCATCACCACGCGTGATGATCTGACCATCCTGCATCTTTCCCAAAACAATTACGCTTCCCTCATGTCCAGCCAAAGAGACCACACTAGCTCCATCTAGGCGAGTTGTATCATCCACAGTAGCCCATGTAATATTTCCTCTTTGAATCGCAGCCTGAAGCTGTAGTGAAGAGAGGGATTACATCATGTAAAACTTCAAAAAAGAAACAGGGGTTTTTGAACCATCACATGGAAGAAAACTACACTTACATCTTCTGCTTGATTAATATCCGCTTGATTCTGATGATCAGTGGATTGTTCTACTTGTACATCCTGACCCTGTTCTGCAGATGTCACCATGACTATTAGAGGTTGCTGTGTATCAGCAAGCTGCAATTCTTCTTTTATATCAGAGGGCTGATCCTGTAATATGAAAAACAGTATCAGCAACAATAAAAACAATATTGAAGGATTAGGGAAAAAAAAGACAAACAAAGCATTTGAAAAAGTAAAACGACTTACCATCTTGTCAATATAAATATTTCCTAGCTTATATCAAGAATAGACTCAGCAGCCCTGTAAAACAAGACTCAATTGACAAACAGCAACTACCCAAAAAAATTTAAATTTTAAATCAGAAATAAAAATAATAACCGAGCTAAAAAAAAACAAAAAACGTTTATCATTATGAAATAAAAAATTGCCATGGTAATGTATATTTTCAAGTGACTTAAGGTATGAGGCAATTGGAGGTTATGATACTGAATGCTAGAAAGCCACTACACAACAACCAAGGTGACCATAAAATGAAATGAATGAACATTTTAAAAATTTATAAGCTGGAATTCTCCTATATCGAGTATGATACGGGACCTTACTGTAGACCAATGGGAGAGGACCCCTAAAAGTTGGTGTGAAAACCTTAGTGTGATAGTGCAATAAGATTTAGTTCATCCAGTACTCAAAAGAAAATTGGAATTGGTTCGCAAGTCGTAGTACTGAAATCATGAGGATCAGGAGAAGGATCAACAGCAAAACTAGAATATGGCTCTGTTTCTTCAAACATACTTTGGAACACATATACAGTTGTTGTGGGGCATTGACAGGTGCAAAGGGTAAGAAACAACCATTCTTCTAAAGAGCCAAAACCACTCACCTGAACCATTTGTATGACAATGCGGTTGATATTTTAAGATTCCGCGATTACTTAATAAAGAAACTCTTCAGCTTCCAAGAAAAGGGGGAAAAGAGCGAAAAATACAGAGGATTCATTAAACTTGGCACGCAAAGCATCAGCATGGTATGGTTTTGCCGTTAGACTGCACGGTGTGCGCATTCTGGGTGACCATAGAATACCATTAAGTGCAAAATTCACTGTACTGCCCTGTCACGCTTTACGAAGCGTGAAGAAGGACTTACAATATCGTAAATATCAGAATAGCGACACAATCTCACGACGCTGTGTGTACAAAGTGCCTTGTTTCCTTTGGTGCCTTAAACAACAGCCTTTTAGCACGCCAAAAGGTGTCCAAACAAAATGTTTTCTTCATTTCTTCCTCTTCTTGTAATAGTGCAACTTTTGTCCACCAGGGTGCCATCGGCCGTTGGCGGGTGCTTTCAAACTTCCAAAGTTTCCCAGGGAACAAACTATTTATTTTTTTTAATTAAAGTTCGCGTATTAGTCAAAAGGTGTACTTAAATATTTTTAAAAATAAAACGCTCTCGAAAAAAGGGAGAACCTTAGCTCTTCCTCTAGAAAATATTTTAATTTGTAATAATTAAATTAATACTGTACCATGCCGATCCTATTCCACGGGGAAAAAAGATACAATGTAATACACAATAGCTGGCGGGAAAACTTTGTGCCCCGAAAAGTAGGCAACCTTTCGCGCAAGGTCGAAACGCTTTTGCAGGTGGTCAAAACTTTTTTTTAGGGAGTACGTTTGGCATGGAATACCCCAGCACAGGCTCGTATTTCATGCGGGAACCTAAACCACGACTAGTACTGGTATTTTTGTTTGTTTTTTAATTCGTGGGAATTGCCGTGAACAGGAACAAAGTGTGGTGTCGTTAAGGTGGAAGTAAGTTAGGCTCAACACAAGCGAAGCGCCTAGCGGGTGTCCTGTCCTCTTGGGCGTAGCCACCCCGGCCGGCCGCCACTGCAACCAAGCCAACCAAGCCCAGCCCCAGGCCGCTCCAGGAGCCGCGCGGCCTGGGAGGCTCATTTTTCATCTTGTTAAGGGATCTAGGTGAGCGGTATGAATTCCTTCGCTCTCCGGAGGGACGTAATCTCGACAGTTCCAGCCGGGGGCAGTATTTTATCGCCGGCCAGAGCTTTTCATTTTGTTCCTCCCGCTGTAAGCAAGAATTAATGAGCCGTTGAACGGCGCTTCGCTGAAAACTCTTCCGTGGTCTATATTCATCCACGTTTTCAGTCCACCTGATAAGCCTCTTATCGGTAAAACCCCCTTGCACCCCTCTCGTCTCTCCCTTCGTCCGAAGGCTCTTTCGGCATCCTATAAATAACCGTCAGCGAGTATCGTTATAAAGGAGAACACGGTACACGAGTACACCACGAGGCCACACAGCACCACACAAGGTCACTGGTGTCCACGACCATTCTTCCGACGCAGCGTGGACGAGCTGACGAGCAGGACTTTTTGCACTGGGCGAAACTCACCCTACCGCGTGCAGACCATATGCTGTAGACCAACAGACGCGCTTTTCTGTTCAGCCGCGCCATCCGTCACCGTGGGCGCCACGAGGACGGAGTTGATCGCGAAGAGGCCGATGATGTATCCGACCCGAGTGACGCTGTACCCGGGGCCCGCCGGGCCGGGCCGTCGCGCCGGGGACACGCGGCCACTAATGAAATTCCTCCTTAATGTCGAGCGAGGTGGAAGGTCCTGGATGCCCCGGCGGGGCGGAGCGCGGGGCGGAGCGCGGGGCGGAGCGCGGGGCGGAGCGCGGGGCGGAGCGCGGGGCGGAGCGCGGGGCGCCGGCAGACATAATGCGCGAGCGGCGGAATGCGTGGCGATGCGTGGGGCTATAGCCGCGGTGGCGCCGTCCCGGCGGCGGGTCGCGGTGCACGACGCTCCAGGGGGTGCCGCACCCCACCGCACCCCGCCCCGCCCACCTCCACGGCACGCGTGAGACTCCCGTCGTTTTCTTTACTCGTCTCCCCTGCCGAGGGCGCGCGACTGGAAAATCACTGTGAAATTACTTAGTAGACGGCAGTGGCGTCGGCGGCGGCGTCACCCCGCTGCTTGTGCGAAGTTGCGGGTCTGGCTGGGCTGGAGCGCCCTCCCGTGGAGAGCCTTTGTGCTGCTCGCGAGGCGCGCGGGGACCGCGACGACGTGGACCGCGGCGACGTGGACCCACCGCCGGGACCGGGAGGGGCTGGAGCAGAGCCGACGGACAAGCACCGCGGCGCGTGCCAAACGGACAAGCAGAGCGCCTTTTGTGCGGCCGGACGGGACGGGTCGAACGGGTTGCGGGCGCGCGTGAGGAGGCTTCGCAGATCCTTCCTGATGCAAGGACGACCTGCGGGGCGGGACCCACTCCTTCCGATGAGCACGCCCTCCCCAACCCCTCCCCCCTCGCCGGCTCGCCCGCTGCAAGTTCACAACAACAACTACTACTACTACTAGTTGCAGCAGTGGGGCACTACGCAGAGTGCACAAAGTTCCAGTCCGTCAGGTAGCACGGGCGGGCGGAAGCGTGAGGGAAGGGGATGGGCCGGCGGTGGCGTTGCGCGGCGGAGAAGTACACCGGCAAGCAGCAGGGCCTCTGCTGGGAGAGGGATAGGGAGGATGTCTTGCACCGGCAGCGGCGGCAGCAGGACGTCGAGGATGTAGCAAAAGAGTCGTAGAGGAGGGAGAGAGAGGAGGGATGGGATAGAAAGAGAAAGAGCGGTGGCGGGGGAGGAGCAGCGTGGTTGCCGGCGGAACGGTTCTACCACCACTCGGCAAACTTGAAATTCGTTCAAGTTTTATCGCGCAGATAAAAGCTGGAAGCGCACCGGATTACGTAGCAGGTCGTTAGCGAGGGGCGGACGCGCTGTGCGCCGGGAGAGGAGAGCAAGGTAGGCCACGCCACGCCCCGCCCCCGCCACGCCCCACCACGCCCGGCCGACACCACGAGGACTAGGACCAGTGGAAAGAGGGTGGCCTGGCCATGCTCAGGTGCGTTCGAGTTCGAGTCGCTGGGGCGACGCTCTGCTGCGAGGTCATTTATTTTTTCGCTCTGACGGCCCAAGGTGGGCTCTGGGCTCGCAAAAGTTTTCGCAAATGTGGATCGGCGAGGTGGAGGAAGAGGAAGGAGAAGAGGATCCTAGCCAAAGGGCTCCG